ACAAGACCGTGTCCAAGTATAACAGACTTCTGTCTTACACAAACCATAACACGCTCAACATGAATACGTACATCTTCAGCTTAAATGGTGATAACTGTGATTTTCCTTTGGTAAAACGTAAAATCTGTAGGCAGGCACGATAGAGTCCACAACTTTCTTGTATATCAGATCCCCTATCAGCTAACACTAGGTCTCTATTCTGGAAGAAGGTTTTCCAGTATCCCACAGTGTTCAGTAATATGTTTATCTGAAACACGCCCACCCCAGCCACCTGAAATAAAGAATACTGTACCTTGTGGAGTGATTTCAATCAGGTACTTGGCTGTGTTGTGATGCTTATTATATGATGATTATGTTCGAGCCCTGGCAAGTAAGCATGAACGACGCTCTATAAAAATCTCAAACAGTCGATAATGACAGTACATGAAGAGAACTTGTTCTTGAAGGTAGTAGGCAAAGTCAATCTCAGTTCTTCTCTTGTAGGCCAGCAAATTAAAAATTTCATAGCAATAAACATAGTAGAAGAATGAATCCCAAACCTGTAACTTAGGGCTTGAAAAAAGTGGTTTGGTCTAAGTCCCATCAAGGTTATTAAGAGCTGCTGAAATTTGTCAAGTGATTTTCTTTCATGTAAGCCACGTCTAATGAGATCAAGAACAGCTATTAGAACAGCAATGCTTGGCAAGCCAGTGTAAAATCGTGCCCTTTCATAATTTTCTTTAAACCATATCTGAGATGGAAATGAGTTGTCCTGTTTCGTTTGAGTTTTGATTGACATTTTAATCATAAATATTAATATTTTATTAATATTATTTTTTTTTCATAAATATTTTAGTCATGAATATTCATGCTAATATTCTTGTAAGTTTGCATGGTGACATCAATAAGTAAATTAGCTTGTAGGTACACCACGTAAGCATTTAATACTGCAAAGCTTTCGGTCCGTTAACCGGGCCTTCATCAGTGCAATTAACTGACTACACATCTGCACGTCATTTAAATATCACGTTTGTCGTAATTTGTTAGCTCGCGCCATTAATTAAACGGTTTCACTTACCAAACAATTGTGAAAAAGAAATAGTTCTAATTAATGCGCGCGCGCTCCTGACAAGTATCTAGCTAGCGAACACTGAAAAGAGCACGCCACGTACTATTGAGTGGCTTTCCCTCTTGGGCGATAGCTTGATGTTTATAGATTTCAATAGATTCTCTCATTTTACGAGAAACGGTATACTTTTCATTCGCTAAAATGGTTGCAACTTTAATACCATGATCATAAGTGCGCGTATATGGTGAGCTACAGTAGACTTATAATAGTAATAATAATAATAATAATAAACTTTATTTAAAGAGGGTTACAATAGTACATTTTTACTAAAGCGGTATTCTTCCAAATGGCCCTCATTATGATACATATAGATAGGTTATGCGGTCATTATATACAAGAATAGTATTAGAGGATTATATACAACACGGTTAATGGACGAAACGATATGTACAAAGGAGAAAATATTATGTATACGTGTATATAAAACACAATGACTATACACAACACAATGTATATATACAATACAGTAGACGAGACAATATAAACTGACAAAAGAAATATTGAATAGATTGAGAGAAAAGTAGAACAGGTGAAAAGTCAATAGGTGTGACATATACACTTAACAATGTTAGTACATGAAGAGCAAAAAAAATGTTCAAGATGGTCAACTTCATAATCTTCAACTTCAATAAGCTCGCGACGTGCATTTCTCCACACAGTGATGCCATATAAGAGATGAGGGTATATAAAGGCATAATAAAACTGAATTCTACACTTCACTGGAAGGGATGGACAAATACGCTTAAATAGATACAGTCGAGAATTTAGCAGTTTGAAGATTTTATCCACTTGGTAGTCCCAAGTCAGATTTTTATCAAGAATTACTCCAAGTAGTTTACCAGAATTAATTTCCTCTATCGTAAATTCCTCGTGTAATATGCCGACACAGTCGAGCATTGTATACTTTCGCTTTGAATATATTTTCATGAATTTTTGTTTTAGTAAAGTTTAAGGTCATATTGTTATGTCTAACCCATTGTGAGGTAGTACTCAGATCGGTTGATAATGATGTTTTGATCACTGATAGTTCACTATTATGGGTTAAGAGGGTGGAATCATCAGCGAAGAGTGAGGGATGTGTGGTGTTTAAAAATGTTGGTAGGTCATTTATAAATAACAAGAAGAGTAACGGACCGAGAATAGATCCTTGGGGGACCCCTGTTTTTATTGCTAAGGGGTCTGACAAATGGTCGCTTACTTGGACTTGTTGAGTTCGCCCTTCTACTAGGTATATGATGTGAACCATTTCAGAGTGAGAACAGTAGCTCCGTATGCGCGGATTTTTTGAAGCAAGATAGTATGATCGACTAAATCAAACGCCTTGGAAAAGTCAAGCATCAGAACTCCATTGATTTCTCCTTTTTCGATATTATTAACAAGATATTCATAAATCATTGTCAACGAAGTTTCGCATGAGTGCCCCGGTCTGAACCCATGTTGGTGGTCCGATAGAATTTTATTTTCGGTTCAATAAGAGAAGTACGAATTCGACACATGCTTTTCTATGATCGTAGAGAGAATAACTAGAACAGAAATTGGCTTAAAATTTCCTCTTTCATTCTTTTTACCCGATTTATGGATTGGGATTAATTCAGCCTTTTTCCAAAAGGATGGAAAGATACCTGTGGTAAAACTTTGGTTACAAATATTAGCTTTAGAAATTGGTATCATTTTAGCAGGGAGCTTAATGAAGTGAGCAGGGACTCCATCAAGTCCTGTTACTTTAGATTAATTCAATATTTTTCAAAGAGTCAGATACTTCCTCAATGGTAATGAGAGGGATACTAAATTAGGTGTGCTTAATCGGCAGAGAGAAGGCTGACTGGTTATAGTCAGCATTCTCCCTCATTTCAAATCTATCCTGAATGTTGGTAAAATATTCATTGAAAACGTTACTGATAGATACTGCATCATTATACATTATATTATCAACAGTTAGACAAAGGAGAGAAGTATCTCTCTTATCAGAAATGGTAGATTTTAAAACACGCCTTAACTGTTTAGGATTCGAGGAATTAACATTGAGAAGAGGTTGAATATACGAGTATTTGGCATTCTTGATCAAGTGCACAGTCTTGTTGCGCCAAGACTTAAACTTATACCAATAATATTCCTGATCGTTTACCGTGCTATTCCTGGACATTTTAAGATAGTATAGTCATGTTTATTTTGAGCGATGCGGATTTCATTAGAAAACCACCCAGGAAGCTTTTTAGTTTTGACTCGTTTTTTGATAAGTGGTGCGTGATTATTTAACACCGAGAGGAAGTGCTCGTAAAATAAATCTAATTGATAATCGGGAGAATCATATACTTGTATTAAAACTGGAGGCAGAATGTCAAGATCAGTGCAAAACCGCGATACGTCGAAGCATTTTGTTTTACGGTACGTTATAGTTTGGTGAAATTTTTGGTCCGTAGATAAGCGAGGATTAATCTTTCGCGTTATGAATATGGGGAAGTGGTCACTTAACCCTAGTTCAATTGTGCCACTTCTTAAAACATTTTCACGGTGAGTCGTATATATGTGATCAATTAGAGTTCCTGAACTAGGTCGAGCTAGTTATTGAATTAATTATTTGTTTCAGCTGATACTGCGAAACAAGATGATATAATGGCCTATATTTGCTTTTATCTTATCCAGTTTACCTTTTTCGCAGTTCGTCTTGAGTTCCTTTAAACGTATTCAGAGATTTCTACCGGTCTCTCCAATGTAAACCAAACCACATTCACATGAAATGCGGTAAACACCAGGTTTCTGATGTTCATCGACGCCATCCTTGTGCGCGTAAAGAGCGCGAAACAATTTGTTATTGCTTGAATGGTAAACCTGTATTCCAAATTCTTTTGAAAATTAAAATCCTGACGATTTTATACGAACCTTGGCCAATAAATATTAAACAGACAGAGGACAGAAAAACAGATATTGAGTGTCTTGTTTCTGCCTTTGTTGTTCATTCATAGTATGTTCTATGAATTTCACTTCACCACCCTAGCATCAAAAAAGTAAATTCATAAATTTTACTATGAATGAACAACAAAGACAGAAACTAGACACTGAATATCTATCTTCTGTCTGTTTACTATTTATTGGTCCAGCTTCGTATAAAATCGTTAGGATTTTAAAAGAAGTTGGAATACAAGTTTACCATTCAAGCAATAACAAATTGTTTCGCGCTCTTTACACGCACAAGGATGGCGTTGATGAACTTCAGAAACCTGGTGTGTACCGCCTTTCATGTGAATGTAGTTTGGTTTACATTGGAGATACCTGTAGAAATCTCTCAATACCTTTAAAAGAACACAAGACAAACTGCGAGAAAGGTAAACTGGATAAGTCGTAAAATGAGAGAATCTATTGAAATCTATAAACATCAAACTATCGCTCAAGAGGGAAAGCCACTCAATAGTACGTGGCGTGCTCTTTTCAGTGTTCGCTAGCTAGATACTTATTAGGAGCGTGCGCGCGCACATTAATTATTTACCTGTGTGAAAGTGAAGAGAACATACATACGGATTCTTGATATCGCCATTGCTTTCTGCATGTCGCTTGATGTTTACAAGCCATTTCTCGCGTCTTTCTTCAGAACTATTTTGCGTTTGCCCTCCTTGGTGTTTAATTATAGAGGGAACATTATAAAATTAAACGCTTTTGTTACTGGAAGACTTCTGTGAGCAAGACAACACGCAACAATACTTCCCCATATCCTTGCCATATTAAGGATAATTGGGCTGAGGCTGATTACAAAAAGGCCACCAAGATGGCAGCGTTTTTCACGTTACGTAACACGTGCAAAGCCTCTTGCCATTTTTCCACACATGCAGCAACCACCTTGTCATTCAGTCAACGTTAAAACTTTATAACTTTTTTTCTTAAAAAACATTCGTTGCAGGAAAGGAAGTGTAGTGGTTGAATTTCTAATTGTGTTGAAACGGGAGATCGATGATCCGCTAATGCCATTGAAAACACTTGCGAACAACAATTTGGGAAATTTTACTGTGGATCCACGAAGCGTAAGAAAGAAAGGTTAGTAAAAGTTTGTTCACTAATTATAACAATTATTGGAGTTACTGGAGAATGAAAAAAGTGGTTACCACTCAGAAAAAATCTCAGGAAAAATATTTCCACAAACGAGAATATATATTTTAGTTGATATTTTCTTGACATTTCTACGCAATTTTTCGTTGCTTAAATTAGCTCTTTCGTTGTTTCAATCTCATGCTATGCGACCAGGCCTCTTCCGGCATCTTTGGGTAGCGAACTGCGCGGGGACCGAAAATGGCAACAAATTTAAAGAGCGAGTTTTGAAAAAAATATTACACAGAGTTTTGGCAAATTTTATACTAAAAAGGCGTTTAATATATATGTAACCCATATATTGTGAACATAAATTTTCAACGTATACTCAAAAGGAGTTTCACATCTGTTCCTTTAAAAGCGACGGAGATATAAATTGGTTGAAGTAGGATGTAGCGTCGCTAAGCCGACAGGGAGTAACTTCCTGTTTTAGTACCATGAATTTCATCATACTTATGCGACCCTCGTACTTGGATACCTGGAAGAGAAACTGTACTCGGAATTCGAAACGCGATTTGGTAGAGAACAAAAGGAGGAATTTGTACGCGCTTTCCAGAGATATTTAGACGATTGTTTCACAATCTGGAACAAATCAGAGGAAGATCTGAGGAAACTACATGCTATGTTAAACAGTCTTCACGAAAGCATCAAATTCGCGGTAGAATTTGACAGCGCCAAGCTGCCATTTCTAGATGTGTTAGTGTACAAGCAAGATGACAAGTTGAATATACGGACATCTTCCAAGGCAACTGACACAAACCAATATCTGAACTTTAACTCGTGTTATCCCAAACACACGAAAACCAACATCCCTTACAGCCTGGCTCGTCGCATATGTTGCATTGTGTCAGACCCACACATCAAAACAAAACGACTCCGCGAACTCGAAAAATTCCTGTTACAACAAAACTACCCTAAGAACCTCATCACAAAGGGAATAGAGAAAGCAACCTCTCTACCACTGGCCGAACTTAGAACACCAAAAAACAGAGATGACAACGCAAAGATCCTTCCGATGGTTTGGATAATCCCAACAAACCACAAGTAATCGATAAAATAAAACAGGACATGCAATTCCTAGAGAACTCGGAGAACATGAAAACAATTCTGGAAAGTACGAAGTTTATTGTCAGCCGCCGCCAACCAAAAAACATGAAGAAACAGCTAACACAAGCCCGGTTCGTTTCCGAGAGAACTCCCAGCAGTGTAACAAAATGCGGAGAAACAAGATGCGGTACCTGTGCAATCATAGTGACCGGAATTGATATCAAACTGAAGAACGGCAAAGCGTGGAATATAAAATGTCAGATGAATTGTAAATCGCGGAACGTTATATTAGTTAACATGCACCGAAGGACTTATAACCTCATTAACGAACGAAACTTACGTTAAGATCATTGTTCCCTACTGGCTGGGACTGCCAAATTCGTTCGTTACCGTAAAATGCCAGGCCCTCATTGGTTGAACATTTAGTGTCAGGTATGATATATTCATAATCGAAAATAAGTTTGCAGTTCTGTTTTGCATAAGTTCTTTCAACGCAAGTTGAATGCTTAAAATATATTCTAATCTTAAAACGCCTTTAAGCCTAGTTTACACTTGTCTGGGATTCCCTTTGGGCTTTGTCCTCAGACAAAGTTGACCGCTGGTTTGCAAAATGCTTTTCTGAGACTATCAGAAAGTAATACAATGGATCGCCGATTCTTAGGAGCCAGTGTGATCCAGGCCTTACACTGATCGATCATTATATATAGCTTATGCATGTACATTCAAGTTCATTTGACATTATGTAGACCCTAAAATTCGCTCGACTTCATGGATTACCCTGCGTCCTCTCATTGAAGGCAGTAAAACTTTTAGTTCTATACTAGAAGTTCATCTATTCTCGCAGCTTAATAATTTCAACTAAATAAATGTTTGTTTGTAAGACTGCTTTATATTTCCATATTTATTGTGCTGAGAGAGCATGTCCCAAAGGACTAATAGTCTTGATCTATCTTATGACATGAAAATTTACACCGGCATTGCATGCGAGTTATGATTGTTTTCTAACATTTCACAATGTTGTGCTTGTTTCGCGACCATCATATAAAAATTAATAGTGTCAGGTGCAGGTATATGGGATGCTTTTTCGACAATCCTATGCTACAAAATTTATGGAAAATACCGAAAATATAACGAATTTTGAAAACATTGCAATCGACTATTTACTTTTAACGAACATCAACATGCTTACATGCATACATCGTCTCATTTGCAATTATTATACATCTAGCCAATCACAATTAGAACTTTTACGTTCGTACATTTGCATAACTGAATATAACGTTGCTTACGGTCTTCGGTGCATGTTAACTATTACATTATTTTACTCTGCAAAAAATGCAAAAGTTTTTATGTCGGCCAAACTGAAAATCTCCGTCACAGAGTTACGCTACACAGACAGCAAATAAACCATGAAGAATATTGCCACTTAGCAGTAAGTGAGCACATCAGAAAATGTAGCAATGGCAACTTCCAGATTATGTCGATTTATCAATGTGACAGTCATTCAGACCGCTTAGTCAGGGAGTCAAAGGAAAGAGACATAACTATTCTTCAGCCGGATTTAAATTCATGTCAATAACAATACCATGCAGTTTATGTAAGATTTTGTTATATATTTTCATATCTTTGTTTGTGTGAAATATTTATGTAAATATTTACCATTAAGTAATCCAACACCACACGTGTAGTGACGTAGTTGCAAACCAGTGAAATATGTAAATATAGGATATCGCAACTAATTTATTGCAAAGTATTCTGCACCTGAGGAGCTTTCAATAAAGCGAAAACGTTTATGCAAAATGATTAGATTTAGTGTTGTTTGATCTCCTTTGTCTGATCTTCATTGCTTCCAAGACGAACTTTTTTTATATACAGCTACTTGTGTTATCAACTGTAATGTATATATATATATAGGCACGGACAGTAATAGCTAAATATAGACTTGATATTGATTAGGGGATTGATTGACATTAATTGAGGGAGATCTAGTTATGTAAAGGATATAGAAAGATACCTAGAAAAAGCGTAAGAAACAAGCAATATTACATTGGCGACGAAGACTAAAACAAGTGATTAAAACATATTATAATGGCGACATATCTCACGCCTATGCCACCGTTTGACCCTGATGCTGACGCGGGAGGAAATATAGCGGCTAAATGGCGTACTTGGTTGGCAGATTTCAAAACATTTCTAACGGCGAGCAACATTACAAACAAGACACGCCAACGAGCATTACTTTTATACCAAGCAGGACCGCGAGTACGGGAAATCTTTCGACACTTTCCAGACCCTGGTAACGACGACGACTTCGATAAAGCGACGGAACTTCTCACCGAATACTTCGAGCCTCAAAAAAATCGATTATACGAAGTCTACAAATTTCGACAAGCAAAACAGAGCGACACGGAAACGATAGATCAATACCACACGCGTCTACGAACACTGTCAAAAAACTGTGAGTTTTCAGATGTAGAGTTCGAAATTATGGTACAAATTGTTATTGGAGGAAAGCCAAGTCGCGTGCGTAAACAAGCGTTGCGAAACCCCAAGTATGTTTTAAAAGATCTTCTCCTCGCAGGCAGGCGCGAAGAAATAAGCAAGACGCAAGCAGCTGACATTGAAGAACATTTAGACAGCTGCAATATTCAAGCAGTTAAAACGCCGACTGCGAAAGAAACAAAACACAAGACATCCAATAAGACATGTTTTTACTGTGGTGGCGACTACCCTTACACCAACAAACCGTGCCCTGCCAAAAACAAGATATGTGCTAATTGTGGTAAATTAAACCATTTTGCTAGCCAGTGCCGCAGTAGCAACACGCGAGAAAATAGACAAACTGGTAAACCACGTGAAGACCTACGACCAGTTAAAATGGACCTCCAGAACAACACTAGCAGCGACAGTAGTGGTCCAGAATATTGTTACGCGGTCAACAACAAACAAAAACACCTGCAAACGTCAATTTCTCTCAATGGACAAAGAGTAAAAATGACCATTGATACGGGGTCAAGCATAAATGTAATCGATAAACACACCTCCCAACAACTGCGAGATATCCGACTTCAGCCAACATCCGTGAAAGCATTATCCCTTCAATTCCACAACACCTGTGAAGTTGGAAGGAAAATTCCGCGTTTTAGCAGAGTCGAAACACAAATTCACAGTAGCTACCATATTTGTTACTTCTGACGACGGCGGTTGTTTACTTAGTTCTGAAACTGCAGAAGAACTTGGACTCGTAAGTCTTCATTTATATCCGATAAACAAGGAAACAGAACGTTCAAAAATCACACCAACAACGAGCGATAAAAACCTCGCACGCATCCTAGATAAACATGGCCCTGTGTTCCGTGGACTTGGGAAACGAAAGAACAAACAAATCGAATTAGTTATCGATGAAACCGTTTCACCAGTTGCACAACCGCAGCGCCAAGCACCGTTCCATTCACGCGGAAAAATTGAAGATGAAATACGCAGATTAGAACAGGATGACATCATTGAGAGAATACACGAAGGAGTTTCAACGGAGTGGGTTTCCCCCGTCGTCGTCGTCCCAAAGCGTGAGGATAAGATTCGATTGTGCGTAGATATGCGAGTAGCAAATACAGCTATTCAGAGAACTAGACATCCCATACCCACTCTAGAAGCTGTCTCTATTGAGCTTAACGGAGCTCGGTTTTTCTGAAAACTTGACCTAACTCAAGCCTACCATGCATCAACTGGAGCTGAACCCAGCATCTCGGGGAATAACAACTTTCTCCACTCATCTCGGCTTATACCGCTGTAAAAGATTAAACTACGGCACAAATGCTGCAGCGGAACTCTTCCAACACACCCTCAAGGAGACATTACAAGGAATTCAGGGAGCTAAAAACATCGCATATGACATCATCGTG